TCCATCATGAGTACTAGGCAACATTTAAAGTCAAAGTGTCCATACCCCGCTAAGAAGTGAACAACACTTGAAGTACTGAGAATGTGGTATTGACCCTGAAGTCACCCCCAAAAATCCTTCAGTCCACTCCTCATACATTCTGTGGTTTAACTCAATGGGCGTTACAATATAGACATCCAGCACTTTACCAGCCGAGATTAAGCACCCTCCCTTTCACTCTGACGTCCTGTTTTAAATGCTACTTGCAAATGTTTCGCAGGGTGACTTAAAAATCCATTTCCCACTTCACGTCCTTGCTCGCAGTCCATTTGTCTTCCCAGGATTCCTGTGTTTTGTTTATCGATTTTCTGCTGCCTGCTGTCATGCTCAGGACCAGAGGAGACCTTGAGAGAAGGCGAGGCCGATAATGGAGTCGTCTCCCCCCTCGTTATCCCTGGTAGGAGAGGAGGGAGCGGCGACTCCTGTCTGACCTTCACCCTGCTCCCCAAACACAACAGATGACAGGCCGTCCTGTTGGCATATCATGAAGACGACCTGGACATTGACGGGCGTGTGCTTTGATCTTCCAGTTTCCCTCCACCTGTCTGTCTCTACTGGCGACCGTCTACTGGAGGATAACAGGGACAGAGGGGGCATACCATTCACCTTGTACAACATCATTACGATAGTTCTAAGAAAACCTGTGTGGGGACTTCAATTCTGAGCGACTCATCGCCCTCAGACGCGCACTCACTGCAGGACGCTACACTGCAAGCTAACACAGGCTAGCACAGATAAACACATTCGGAACCAGCCTGTCCAATAGAAAGCCAACACAAGGTTCGCCCTCGTTTTGGAAGGAGCTTTATTTGCTTTGCTTTTTGCCTCACTTTGATTATACTTTCGATTCTCTTTTTTTGATTTTTCTTTTTGGGCTTTTTGTTCCTTTATTGGAGAGACAGGACAGTGGATAGAGTTGAAAATCAGGGAGAGAGAGAGTTGGGAATGACATGCGGGAAAGGACACACAGGTAGGATTCCAAACCTGGGCCGCTAACCACTGCGCAACCAGCGCCCAGATATTTTCTATTCTTTGCCATGTCCATCATAATCGCCGGTTTGAATCATGTCCAATGGCTGAATTTTATCCGCCCCGAAACTCACCTGCGCGCTGTAATTGGCTCGAGGAAATACAGCAAAAACTCCCAGATTCAACCAAAACAAAGCAAAACATGAAAATCCAGTCAGAGGACAGACTCTCTGCAGACACAGTCAACACTAAACATGTATGGAGGCCCTAAAGTGATGATTGAGCAGCATTCATTTTGTGTAAGTCTATATTTAATTGTTTAGGAAAAAGCTACTGACCCTACCTTCAATGTGAATAATGTTGATTGTTGTCTTTTTATGGCTGCATCATGGGGGAAGAGTCCAAGACAGCAGTTCTATAATCAACACTTTGGACCTCTTTCACTTTGCAGACAGCGTTCTATGGATATGCTGGGGCAGCGAGAGCGCAGCCTCCATTCACAAGATAATTCAGTCTCTTGTTAGGCTGCCTGAGTGCTTCACTTAGCGCTTGGTTTACATTTTCCATCATTGCTCTTGCTCCGGTTCTCCAGGTGTCTCCAGGATGATTACGGTTGTGTGAGGGATTTTTCCACTCGCTACCATCTGGGTGGGAGTAACGCAGAACACAGCCATCTGTAATACGCAAAACCACACAACAAACCGTGCGTGAGCTGCCATAACACAGAATGTAAAAAAACTACAAGCATGTGAAATATACAGGGCTGGCATGCAATCAGCCTTATAAAGACACTTTCTGTCTTTTACATAATGGCTTTATAACCAGTCCAATTATTGTATTTATTTATTTTTTTAAATTGGCACCATTAGAATGCATATGATTAGCTATTAGCACACTCTGGGCTAATTCACTTTGAATGGATTGCACCAGCGAGTGATGTGGTACTCGACTCCTTTTGACTGGATGTATGCATGTACTGCGTTTGGACTTGGATGATGGAGAGGAGGACTCGGCCTCATTTATTGATAAAGACTGTGTTTTTGATTCTGTTAGTTTTTTTGTAAAGGCCCTGGTGATTTGTGCAGTTTTTGCAGAGTGAAGCCGTTCAAACATGTTACTTTGTCTTTCTGAAGATATTTTATTATCCATGTTTTGACATGTTGTTGAAAAAAAAAACAAGATTGAGTCTGTATATTGTGTTTTACTTTGAAATTGACCGGACACTGAGGGCTGAGGGCCAATTTTGTTCTCATCTCCTCTGTAACAACCATCGTTGCCACCAAGCCTGCAGCTAACCACTCTGCCTCCTTTGACTTCCCTGTAGCTGAGCATTACATTAATGGTAAAAGTGTCAAAACAAAATATTTAGTATATGCAATAGCTCCCTTTGTTTCCTCCAGACAGACAGACAGGCAGATAGGCAGACAGACAGACAGACAGACAGACAGACAACGTGAAAACTTAAAACTTTTAAAAATAAAATAATTTCTGGGGGCAAAAGTGTCAAACTTGTGTGTTAATGTGACCGGTTGTGTAAAGACTAGAATAGAGAAGTGCATTTACCAACATTTCCATAACTTCCTCATTACTCCAACATTGTTTCTTCTTTTTTCTTAAAAAAAAAAAAAAGAAAACATGGTCCTGAATGTGATGCACTTTTTTCCAAAAATATAGTTTTCAACAGTTGCCGGCAAGCAGCAATTTTAGTTATTAAAGCATAAACTCTTTGAGGCTGATTGCAGACCGGCTGTGCTGCAGCCCTGATTTAATAATGTATGTCAAAGTAGGAGTATAAGGAGCTAAGCAGCATATTAAGTTAGACAAAAACTACTCTGTAAAACATTTTTGAGGGTATTCCTTTAGGTGTCAGAGTGATTCAAAATGGCTAAAGCAAAAAAAAAAAAAAACTATTAAAATCTTAAAGTGCACCGATCAGTTGAACATATGCCTGAGATATCTTATCTTGATCTCCTGCTTATTCATTCTATTCACATTATTTTGATTTTAATCTATATAGAAAATCACAACGCCATTTCAGTTTGTAAAAACATTCATTCTACTGTTTATTGATCTGTGTTTTAATAAGAATTAAAGGTTTTCTCCAAAATGTCTCCAAACTTCCCATTCTCCATATTCTCACTAAGGTCTTGTATTTTAGAAGTAAGATAACAAAAATATTCAGTTTTTGTCAGACTGTGAACAGACTCGCTGCTTGTCTACAGGCAAGGCAGGCAACTGCTTGGGGCCCCAATCCGGTAAGGGGGCCCCAAGGGCTGCCAAACCTTATACCACAGCAGCGGCTCAACATGTGCAAATTTTGCAACGACAGAAAACCTCCCTAAAGAGGCCCCATCTGACAGCACTCCCTCTCCATGCCCTGGGAAGCATCGCTTGTATTTACAAACCAAAGTTTGTGGCTGGAAGTCAGCACCAGGACTTTGGCAGACATGATGCTGAACAATGCTTGTTGGAAGGGCCCCCTATGACGGTTTGCTTAGGGCCCCGACAGACTCAAGAATTGCCCGACTGTGAAAAATGCAAAGAAAACAAATTAATTTTCAAACAACTAAATAACTGAAGATATACACTGTAGATATACACTGAACTTGACTAAAGAGACATTCAAGATACTTACTAGGCAATGGGATGAGGGCACCTCCCAAAAGAGCTTTACATCTTCATGTATTTGAGGAAACATAATGCATATAGAGGAAGTATAAAGAAGAAGTACCAAGACAAAACTGTGGTTTTGGTCTTGTGTTAGTTTTAAGACATTCTATGTTTTGAAACAAGTTTTAGCACCTTTTCAACTGCCAGCAGATTCACAGTCTGAGTAAATGCCAATCGTTATAAGGAAGTATTTCACATCTCTAAGGTTTTAACATCAACGACTCATACCGCTCTTAGTTATGAATATGTCTGCTCTAGAATACATTTGCCTGGATTCCTGAGACCTGGAATTCCATTCTTAAGGGTTTAAGGATTCAGAAGCCATACACACTTCAGATCACATTTTTTAAATGTATCTTTTGAGACGTATTGTCACTTGTCCTTGTGTTCCATTCACTTTAAATAATCTGGAATTTGGGTTGAAGGACTACAAAAATGCATGCTGTCTACTATGACAGCTCTTTAAAGAACAGTAATCAGTTTTGCTCAAATTGAAAACCATAAAAAAAGAATGCAAACAAATAAAAAAGGTCAACAAAAGAATTGGCGTATATTTTTCTAGTTTTACTCAAACAGACCGGGCCTCTAATCTTTTGATATAATGTTGTTTAAGATTTATAACTTGAATGTGATCAAGTTAAACAATATAATCAATGACTGAGTGAAGTTTTTAATCACTCAGTCAACCTCTAAAAACATTATGTTGAATGTGAAACAACCTAACTTTGATGCGTACATGTAACCAGAATAAACAACCCAAATGAGAGGTTAAACAAGCATGATGGTATTACTGGTTTAATCGCAAAGGGAGAGGACCCAAAAGTAGCCTTTTAAAATTAATTTAACAGACAAAAAAAAAAAGTGTAAACTTAAACCAATTTAAGCTGCTGAGTTCTACTGAACAGTACTTTTTGTTTAAAGGGGACAAAAATCCACTTGCACAATGTTTTTGAACATATATTTGGGCAACTTGAGTGTCTACGGACACTATCAAATTTGCTCCTCTTTATTCTCCTTCATTGGCTGAGGGCCAATTTTTTTCCTCATCTCCTCTGTAACAACCATCGTTACCACCAAGCCTGCAGCCAACCACTCTGCCTCCTTTGACTTCCCTGTACACTATAAAAAAGGATTTTTGTGGATGTAAATAACATCCATACAAATTGTCTAAATTTTACTAAAATAATATAAGTCAGCAAGTGAACTCTATTATAATGGGTACATTTGACCTTCTATACCTATTTTTCAACAGTAACAATTGCTACACAAATAAACTAAATAATATCTACCCAAAGATATTGGGTGTGCATTGAAGAGTGCGCATGCGTCATTACTTCTATGCAGAGGACATTATTGGTTGGCGGGACTCCATGTTCGGCAGGAGGTTCGGCATCGTGGTGGAAGGTAGGATTAATATTGATCATAAAACTGTTTCATTCGATGTATGGAAATGTGTTAGTCTGGTATATGGCAAGATTGATCTGGAAGCCTCGGTATAAAACATTAAAGTCTCTGAGACTTTCCTTAATGTTAGCATGCTAGTTGAGCACACTTGAGCACAAGCAAAGTAGCTTACTTATGGAACACAGCAATACATACGTTTGTGGCCAGAATGTGAATTAATTTAAACTAAAGTAGCTACATAATGTGATATTTAATTGGGGGCTAAATTCACAGTAAACTACATTTTCTAACTAACTTGTTCACATGGTTACGGGCACAATGTCGTATGTATGACCCTCGCCGTCTACCGTTGCCACCGTTGCTATGGTGATGCTTTTTTCCCCCCCACAGTCACAAAATACAGCATGGTGTTCTTGGAGGACACATATACGTGACACACACAAGTGATATTGACCTAGCGTTAGCGTTGAGCTCCGGTATACATTTACACAAACAAAGTAAGACGGGATGAAGTTCGAAACAGGTATTTTGAAAGTTACTTGATACCTCTCATAACAAACAGCTCTGCACCGAGCGAGTGTGTAGGCCAGTGATGGAGAGGGCGACGGTTGCGCTGAACGGACAGCTGTTCTACCGCAGCAGAAGTAAGATGTGAAGTAGTTATAAATATGCAGTGTTTAATTCACGTTGTCCACCAAAATAGCACAACCGCTCCTCAAAACTCAGGTAGAGTCTGTGTGTGTGGCCTCCTGCTGGGCAAATGTTAAGGTTTCAATTATTTTACACAATTATTTGAAGCTTAACTACGAGTCTCCACATTAAATGCTTGATGTAAATAGACAGCACGCGTGTAATATCCGTGCGTTTTTGTCAACATGCTTCTTATCTGTTTTGCCAAACTGTCATTAGGTTATTTTATGTCCTGACTAAATCTTTAAGTTTTAACACAATCAAATGTTCCGTATTTATTTCTGTTACTTATACAGCAGGATCTATGAAAACCTGTGAAGACCCATTGGAAATGCATTACTATGGTATGTCAATTTTAACATTTATATGCTTTAGATACATGAACTGAATGCTGAGCCTTCTAAATTAAAGAAAAAATAGGTGTTTGTTAACTTGTTTTGCAGGACATGTACTTACTTACTTACTCCTCTTCGTCCCCTATGGGACATAAGGCTTCAATGAGCACTCTCCATTGCATTCGGTCCCTGGCAGCATGTTGGGCCTCTCCCCATGACAGGTTCATCTGTTCCAGCTCTTGTGTCACAGTTCTGCGCCAGGTGGTTTTTGGCCTCCCAGGTTTTCTTTTGCCTGGTGGTGTCCATTTTAAGGCGACTTTTGTGATGCGGTCCTGCTCCATCCTCAACACATGTCCCAGCCATCTCAGGCGTCTGTGCGTAATCTCCTTGGTGATGTTCCGGCTTCCCGTTGCAGGACATGTAGCTTACAGCTTTTAAAACCAACTGTATCTTTTGATGTTTGATTTATTTACCATTATCTTTAGCCAAATTACTTCACATCGTTAGATTGTGAGAATTTTGTCCCTTAACTGATTTTTAGATCAAAGAAGAGTTCCGGCATATAACCACTGTTCCTCTGGAAGAGACATTTATGCCGAAGCTAGACGAGCACACACCACGTCTTCCGCAGCTGATGCGTGCAAAAGGAAGAGCTGCTGCTACAAGGATGCAGCATCTCCTGAACACTGCAAATGAGGTAATTTTTCAGTTTTTATTGAAAATTGCAATCACCAGTTTGCAGATACGAGTAGTAACTTAAATGCTTGTCATTTCAGTTCCTCAGTATTGACAAAAAAAGGGATGTGGTTGTTAGTTGCCTCATCAAGTACCTTGGAGAACAAAAGGAAAATCTGTTCAAAGACTGCCAGGTATGGTATTAATCAATAATTAACTCTGACACAATTGTTACATTTCAGACATAATTTTATTAAGCTGATTGAGTGTGACTGTGCACCTGTTTTAGATTTAAGGATATGGGGTCAAGAACTCTGGATTGCCTTTGTTGTTCACCTGCTTGTAATAAATGACCGATTTACCTAAATGTCCTTTTTTTCAAATAAATGACTTCACCAAAAAACTTTTAATCAAACTGAAAAGCACCATGCTTATATGCATAACTTAAATAAAAGTGCTTATTCTTTGTTTATTTTCTTCCAGGAGGACGAACACGAGGACCACACAGACCAAACCATGAAAGTGCTTGTGATCCATGACCCCAGAGCTGAGGTGGATCCAGCAGATGTTTCTATCGTGATAGTGGGCGACAAGGTACTGAACGGATGTAGAACTCGCACCAAGTCATGTATGCTGTTGATGGGATTGATTTACGCTCTCAACCTTGAGTATCCCAAGAGTCTGAAATACAACTTTGAAGTATTCTGTAAAGTTTTTTGGAGCTTGATGGAGCAAAGCTGCTCAAGAAGGTACACAGCCTCAAAAGTAAGCTTATTGTATTAACTTTTGCACATGCGGACTGTAAGCTTCTTCATGCCTTAAGACTCTTTTTGTGCAAATGATTTCTCAAACTTGATGTACATGATTTAAGAGATGTGTATGTGCACAATGTGAGCTTACGCTCTGCATCACGTTTTTGTTGCAAAAATGTTCTAGTATTTAGTATTTAATGTAATTGATTCACATTTGTGTTGGTGCAAAGTGTGTGTGTGTTCTGTGAATTAAGATCAAGAGCATTCTTTTTTCTTCTTCAGAAAAGTGGGATCTCAACATTTTTCTAGATAACCCCCCCCCCCTCCCTTTTTTTTTCTTTTGCTGGTCAAGCACTTTAGTTTAGCTTGTTTAACACTAAATGTTTTTGTTTACATCGTGTAATGCATATTGTTCAGGTAATACTTCAACTTATACTTTGAGAAAAAAAGTTCTGTTTGTTTACATGTTACATATTTTGGGCTCAATGATACTTGTCCTTAATGTTTAATTTGATAAAGAATTGGTCAAATAAAAAAGTAATTGACAGGATGTATATTGTCTCGTGTGTCTGGCATTAACTTTTGGGTAAAACAAACCTAATTTAAAAAAGTAATTAATTAATAACTTGTTTTGGTTAATAAATATTAAAAAAACATTAGGTAAATGAAATATCCCCTACTACAAATACACTACAATCATGATTAAATATTACTCATTTTTAATAGACATTTAGTTGTAAAATCTATTTCAAAAGGTTAAGTAGACTTTACCTAATTAATTTGAGTATAATATAGTCAATATATTCAGGTAATATTTACTCAAAGAATAGGGTAAAATTTACACAATCAAACTGAGTGAAAATTGTTAACTCAATTATATTGAGTAGATTCTATAGGTTGCTTTTTATAGTGTAGCTCAGCATAAACACCAGAGCAACTACATCTCTATGCAAAGGTCAAACTGCAGACACAGAGATGAAACTTTACTGAAACAGAGTCAATCAGGGCTGTTATTACATGTACGTAGACAGGAGAATTAAGCTGAGCATTTTTACATTTTATAAATACCAATTAAACATTACAATAATGGTAAAAGTGCCATAACTAAATATTTATGATGTGCAATATCTCCCTTTGTTTCCTCTGAAAAGGCACATCAACCTTTATCCAAATCAGATTAAGACACAGACAGACAGGGAGAAAACTTAACTGAAGAAACAAAGTGACTGGCTGGTTAAATAAAAATAGGTTTCTGAAAAAAAAAAAAACAGAGCTTCACATCTTGAAGTTAATTTTTTAATCACTCAGTCAACCTCTAAAAACATTATGTTGAATGTGAAACAACCTAACTTTGATGCGTACATGTAACCAGAATAAACAACCCAAATGAGAGGTTAAACAAGCATGATGGTATTACTGGTTTAATCGCAAAGGGAGAGGACCCAAAAGTAGCCTTTTAAAATTAATTTAACAGACAAAAAAAAAAAAGTGTAAACTTAAACCAATTTAAGCTGCTGAGTTCTACTGAACAGTACTTTTTGTTTAAAGGGGACACAAATCCACTTGCACAATGTTTTTGAACATATATTTGGGCAACTTGAGTGTCTATGGACACTGTGTCAAATTTGCTCCTCTTTATTCTCGTTACAGAGGAGTGATGTCTACCAGGAAAACTCAGGGGGGGGGGTCAGTGCATTTAAAGAGACACACACACCAAAACGGAGCGTTCTGAGAGAGCTGGTTTATACAGGGTCACAAACCTCCTCTGGTGCTTGAATCATGTTATATTTTGACCAAAGCACAGAACACATGTTTCATTTAGACCACAGGGAGACTGTTTGAAAAGGTGCACAAGGTGTACAATATGTCCTCTTTAAAAAAAAAAACCATCAGCACTATAAAGAGGAAGTATTTCAGAAAAAACAGTGAAGTCTGTCTGTGGGCTTTTGTAAAGTCACTTTCTGTCTGTCCTTTCATAATGATACATGCACCCTATGCATCAGCCATGAGGAGCATACAACAGAGACACCTTTACTTGACCCTGGGTAAGGCGCATTTTTCTAATATTTAACATTTGAAAGCAGGTTAACAGAATAGTTACTCACTTTATTATACTCAATTAATTCAAATATTGAGAGAGAGTTGGGAGAAAAATGACTTTTATATGTCTGCACTTTCTTCTCTTCTATAGCGGCTTTACTCTGGACCTCTTCTTTGACTGCCACAGGTCAGTCCTATTTTATTGAATTACTTCATTTTCACAAGGATACTATAGCCTGTATTCAGTCTATTGTGCCTGAAAGGTGTTCAGTACGATGGAGGATTAGGTCCACGTTAAAGAAAAAAAAGAATCTAAAATTTCAAGATTAATCTTGTAAATTTATGAGTATAAAGTCATAAATATACAAGATTAATGTTGTTATTTTATTCTATAGTTATATCAGAAGAGCAGCCGCCTGTTCAAAAATGGCAAACGTGGAGCATCTTTTGAAGTTATACTTTGATAGAGGTTTCAGATATAAAACTACACATTCTTTTCGCACATCATCATCACATTGTCATAAGTATCAGGACCCTGAAAAGAACATTTCAAGAAACTGGGGCTTCTCGGAAGAAAGAACCACACTGACTGGGAGGAAATTGTCTCTTTTGTGGCAGAGGAAAAGGCTTTAAGGGTTCTCCTTTCAACATTTTCACACAGGCCGATGGCTGCTCTTTTGATACAACCTTTTAGAATAATAATTTACATAGCCTAATTTAAATTATTGTTCGAATTTAGTCTTGTAAATTTATAACTTTATTCTCCTAAATTTACGAGTTTTAAATCTCATAAATGTATGACTTTTTTTTTTCTTTAAGATTGCCCTAAAACTCGTCGTTGGTCAGATCAGATTAGTTGGGCTGGATTTAAAACAATGTTATGGTGGTGTGCTGACGGCTCGGCTGCTGTGCGGCTAGATGGTAACCACACCCTGCTGCATGCTGTTTGAACTGAAGAGCAGAATAACAAGTGTGAAATGTTCAAGGTGTCTTTCAGAAGCAGTTTTTGAAACAACAAAAAAACAAAGATCTGTGTGTGTGTTCTTCTATATGTTCTTTTAAGGTTCTCAGCTGAGATTAGCTGGGTTTGGATCTACTCAGTGCTCTGGAAGAGTTGAAATCTTCTCTGGCAGTACCTGGGGAACAGTTTGTGATGATGATTGGGACTTAGAAGATGCTGAGGTGGTGTGCAGACAGCTGAACTGTGGGACAGCAGAGAGTGCTCCTGGAAGTGCCCTTTTTGGTGAAGGAACTGACCCGATCTTGCTGGATGAAGTGGCCTGTTCAGGAAGTGAAAGGTCTCTTTTGGACTGTCAGCACGATGGATATCAGAATCACGACTGTACACACGATCAGGATGCTGGAGTGATCTGCTCACGTGAGAACATTTTTTTATCAAATATTTTAAAATCAAGTGTGCTTTTCTGTAAATCAACCTCCCTTTTTTCTGTCTTTGGTGCATGTGCAGCCTGCAGGAACGTTTTAATATGTAAAAGCTGGTGACCACATTCGGCAGCGTGCTTTTAAAATTTGAGAGCAAAATAACAAGAGTCATTTGTTGACACAATATTTGGAAATTAATCTCTTTTTTTTCTCCACACTTGACTTCCAAAACAGTTTTTCACATGACCCATTAAGAAAAGAATGACATGTTTCATCTTGCAATGTTTTTTTCTTCTGTGATCAACTCTCAGATGCTGAGCTCAGATTAGCTGGGTTTGGATCTACTCAGTGCTCTGGAAGAGTTGAAATCTTCTCTGGCAGTACCTGGGGAACAGTTTGTGATGATCATTGGGACTTAAGAGCTGCTGAGGTGGTGTGCAGACAGCTGAACTGTGGGACAGCAGAGAGTGCTCCTGGAAGTGCCCTTTTTGGTGAAGGAACTGACCCGATCTTGCTGGATAATGTGACCTGTTCAGGAAGTGAAAGGTTTCTTTCGGACTGTCAGCACAATCGCTCTCAGAATCACGACTGTAAACACGATCAGGATGCTGGCGTGATCTGCTCACGTAAGAAATGTTTTTTTATCAAATATTTTAAAATCAAGTGTGCTTTTTACGGTGGCCGGTAGGGGTCAAACGCTCAGCAACTGATGAAACGAAACACAGCATATATTGAAACGTTGCACATTCAAAAGAAAATGCAAACTACCACAACAAATGCAAAGGCTGAAACGTGCTGCAAAGATACAAACGTGCTGCAAAGACACAAACGTGCTGCAAAGACACAAACGTGCTGCAAAGACACAAACGCGCTGCAAATAGGCAAAACAACTGCGTAAGCATCAACCGCGCTGCAAGTACAGAAACAAAACTTCAGTCAAAACAGACACAACCAGAAAATAACTGCAAACACAGAAACGCTGCAAGTTAATCCTTAAAGGGAAGTGCTCCAGGCCTGTAGGGGCGCTGTGGAACTGTTTATTTCGGTTTATTTACGGGATAGAGTAAGAGAGACAGCTAGGAACAGAAAGTTATGTTTAGATATGGGAGTTGTATCATTGAAAGACACAGGAGAACTTCAATGTTACTGAAACGCGGGGATAAAGCGAATCCGACCGGGATTTTGACATCGGGGACGAGAGCCGAGTGTGGGTCTGTGGCTGCAGCCCCGGGATGCCTGGAGCTAGTGCTAGCTCTGGGGCTGTGAGCTCCAGCTGCAGCTCATCCCTCTGCGTTTTACCAGCCTGACACTTAGTGCTTTCGCCATCCCCGGTGTCCGGGTTGAACTCGCTACTCATCTTTTTGCAACAGTTTAACATTCTCCCTGTCATCAAACACTGACACTTCACCCACAGAGAGCCCTCTGCCCTGGGCCTGACAAGTTCAGAATCCTGGCAGACGTAAGTCCCGTAGCCTACTCAAGCCGTGCAACGGTGCCGGTAGCCGGGCAGCCAACTTAGCAAAGCTACCGCTCAACAAGACCTCATTTCTCAAACTTGTGTTTCTCCCCCCTACATGTTATTAAGTCGTGTTTGTTCACAATAGAACGTGGGGCAGAACCCCGGTGAAACGCTGCTCCGGTGAGAGGAGTCTTGTGGCTCCGGTGGTGTTTAATTAAATTCACCTCCCCGTCTCCCTCCCACATCTGTGAGCGACCTGAGCAGGGATTCAATGAGAGCGTACATTGTGCCGGGCTTGTCTCCTAGCGTACCGGGGCTGCTCTCATTGAATCCCCCCTCAGGTTGCTCACAGATGTGGGAGGGAGACGGAGAAGTGGATTTATCATCTAAACACCACCGGAGCAGCGTTTCACCGGGGTTCTGCCCCACTTTCTATTATAGGCAAACACGACTTAATAACATGTCGGGGGGAGAAACACAAGTTTGAGAAATGAGGTCTTGTTGAGCGGTAGCTTTGCTAAGTTGGCTGCCCGGCTACCGGCACCGTTGCCCGGCTTGAGTAGGCTACGGGACTTACGTCTGCCAGGATTCTGAACTTGTCAGGCCCAGGGCAGAGGGCTCTCTGTGGGTGAAGTGTCAGTGTTTGATGACAGGGAGAATGTTAAACTGTTGCAAAGAGATGAGTAGCGAGTTCAACCCGGACACCGGGGATGGCGAAAGCACTAAGTGTCAGGCTGGGAAAGCGGGTGCAGAGGGATGAGTTGCAGCTGGAGCTCACAGCCCCAGAGCTAGCACTAGCTCCAGGCATCCCGGGGCTGCAGCCACAGACCCACACTCGGCTCTCGTCCCCGATGTCAAAATCCCGGTCGGATTCGCTTTATCCCCGCGTTTCAGTAACATTGAAGTTCTCCTGTGTCTTTCAATGATACAACTCCCATATCTAAACATAACTTTCTGTTCCTAGCTGTCTCTCTTACTCTATCCCGTAAATAAACCAAAATAAACAGTTCCACAGCGCCCCTACAGGCCTGGAGCACTTCCGTTTAAGGATTAACTTGCAGCGTTTCTGTGTTTGCAGTTATTTTCTGGTTGTGTGTGTTTTGACTGAAGTTTCGTTTCTGTACTTGCAGCGCGGTTGATGCTTATGCAGTTGTTTTGCCTATTTGCAGCGCGTTTGTGTCTTTGCAGCACGTTTCAGCCTTTGCAGCACGTTTGTGTCTTTGCAGCACGTTTGTGTCTTTGCAGCACGTTTGTGTCTTTGCAGCACGTTTCAGCCTTTGCATTTGTTGTGGTAGTTTGCATTTGCTTTTGAATGTGCAACGTTTCTATATATGCTGCGCGTTTTTCTAAATGTATGTCGTTTCATCAGTTGCTGAGCGTTTGACCCCTACCGGCCACCGTAGCTTTTCTGTAAATCAACCTCACTTTTTTTTTTCTTTGGTGCATGTGCAGCCTGCAGGAAAAATAATTGTAATTAATTTGTAAATTAATCTCTTACCCTCCCTCCACGCTTAACTTCCAAAACAGTTTTTCACATGACCCATTAAGAAAAGAATGACATGTTTCATCTTGCAATGTTTTTTTCTTCTGTGATCAACTCTCAGGTGCTGAGCTCAGATTAGCTGGGTCTGGATCTACTCAGTGCTCTGGAAGAGTTGAAATCTTCTCTGGCAGTACCTGGGGAACAGTTTGTGATGATGATTGGGACTTAGAAGATGCTGAGGTGGTGTGCAGACAGCTGAACTGTGGGACAGCACTGAGGGCTCCTGGAAGTGCCGTTTTTGGTAAAGGAACTGACCCGATCTTGCTGGATAATGTGGCCTGTTCAGGAAGTGAAAGGTCTCTTTTGGACTGTCAGCACGATGGATATCAGAATCACGACTGTACACACGATCAGGATGCTGGAGTGATCTGCTCACGTAAGAACATTTTTTTATCAAATATTTTAAAATCAAGTGTGCTTTTCTGTAAATAAACCTCCCTTTTTTCTGTCTTTGGTGCATGTGCAGCCTGCAGGAACGTTTTAATATGTAAAAGCTGGTAACCACATTTGGCAGCGTGCTTTTAAAATTTGAAAGCAGAATAACAAGAGTCATTTGTTGACACAATATTTGTAAATTAATCTCTTTTTTAACCTCCACACTTGACTTCCAAAACAGTTTTTCACATGACCCATTAAGAAAAGAATGACATGTTTCATCTTGCAATGTTTTTTTCTTCTGTGATCAACTCTCAGGTGCTGAGCTCAGATTAGCTGGGTCTGGATCTACTCAGTGCTCTGGAAGAGTTGAAATCTTCTCTGGCAGTACCTGGGGAACAGTTTGTGATGATCATTGGGACTTAAGAGCTGCTGAGGTGGTGTGCAGACAGCTGAACTGTGGGACAGCACTGAGGGCTCCTGGAAGTGTCGTTTTTGGTGAAGGAACTGACCCGATCTTGCTGGATGATGTGACCTGTTCAGGAAGTGAAAGGTCTCTTTCAGACTGTCAGCACGATGGATATCAGAATCACGACTGTACACACGATGAGGATGCTGGCGTGGTCTGCTCACGTGAGAACATTTTATAATCAATATTTTAAAATCAAGTGTGCTTTTCTGTAAATCAACCTCCCTTTTTTCTGTCTTTGGTGCATGTGCAGCCTGCAGGAACGTTTTAATATGTAAAAGCTGGTAACCACATTCGGCAGCGTGCTTTTAAAATTTGAGAGCAAAATAACAAGAGTCATTTGTTGACACAATATTTGGAAATTAATCTCTTTTTTTTCTCCACACTTGACTTCCAAAACAGTTTTTCACATGACCCATTAAGAAAAGAATGACATGTTTCATCTTGCAATGTTTTTTTCTTCTGTGATCAACTCTCAGGTGCTGAGCTCAGATTAGCTGGGTTTGGATCTACTCAGTGCTCTGGAAGAGTTGAAATCTTCTCTGGCAGTACCTGGGGAACAGTTTGTGATGATGAGTGGGACTTAAGAGCTGCTGAGGTGGTGTGCAGACAGCTGAACTGTGGGACAGCACTGAGGGCTCCTGGAGGTGCTGTTTTTGGTGAAGGAACTGACCCGATCTTGCTGGATGAAGTGGCCTGTTCAGGAAGTGAAAGGTTTCTTTCGGACTGTCAGCACAGAGGATATCAGAATCACGACTGTGAACATGATCAGGATGCTGGAGTGATCTGTTCTGGTATGCATAGTTTTTTTTTTAAGATTTATTTTTGGGCATTTTGAGCCTTTAATTGAGAGATAGGACAGTGGATAGAGTCGTAAATCAGGGAGAGAGAGAGTGGGAAATGACATGCGGGAAAGGAGACACAGGCTGGATTTGAACCCGGGCTGCCCGCTTGGAAGACCAGCCTCCATAAATGACCTCTTTTTCGAGCAAGGCCTGGCCAGTTTTTAATTTCTTATACATTGATGCTGTAATTAAAGTTATCAAGATACCAACCCCAAACTCTTACAAAGAAAAAGTCAGTGTAATCACTTTGGTGTATTTGTGAGGTTTGAACCCTCTCCTGCTCCTCTTCATTTGGTGCAAGACATCTAAAAATGCTATAACTGCTGCGGCTAGCAGGATATGTGATAGTATTGGTATCATCAACTTTAGCAACACTTTTAAGCTCAGAGGGAAGTTATAATAAAACTCAGATAAAGTGAATACCAACATTAAACATACATTGGTTTTTAAAGATTTAAAATGTTGTGTCCTTTATTCAATTAATATTCATTATACTTAACAAGGGACTTCACCAAATGACTACTTAATAGTTGGTAATTTCCATACAGACGATTCTGTCTTGTCAGAATATGCAAATTAAGATCTTAATAATAATAATAATTTATACTTTATTAATCCCTCGAGGGGAAATTCAGTTTTACACTCTGTTTAATGAAAATGCTACACAAACATAGGCCAAAATACACACAGACGCACAAACAGGATCCATATGGACATGTATTAATGGAGAGGTCTCAGAGTGAGGGGGCTGCCAACAGCAAGTGCTCCAGAGCAGTTTTGGGGTATGGTGCCTTGCTCAAGGGCACCTCGGCAGTGCTCAGGAAGTGGACTGGCACCTCTCCAGCTACCAAAACCAATTTCTGGACTTGATCGGTGCCGGGACTTGAACCGGCGACCCTCCGATTCCCAATTCATTCATCTAAAGTGTGGTCTCCATAACATTAGTTAAAAGCAAGTAGCAGTTTGGACCATTGCAAGGTGTCAACTGGCAGCCCTGCCACACAGACTTGGTCAAAGTAAGAGAAGATCAATGCCTGCACAAAGCATTGAGTGTCATATTAACTTACTGGTGGTTAACACCAACTTTTCGATTCGATAAAGTAACAACATTCAGTTCAATTCAAGTCAATTTAATTCAAAGAACTTTATTTATTCATGGCATAATTTGTTGCCGTAAGTGAGTTGGAATTTCAGTCTTTCAATATAGTGAAACCAAATTAGGTGTGTTCATGTGATGCTTGGTTAAGGAATTGTATATCTGGTGGTTGTACATGAGAAGTACATTAGACTAGGGAATGCTGAGTGGTTAGATAGATTAATGAATCAAATGCTTTTCCCTCCCAGGGTCACTGATGGACTACCCAGTAGCTGAAAGCTTCTTGCAGTTGCCGGTGGTGCTGGTGGTGCTGGTGGTGCTGGTACTGTTGCTGGTGGTACTGTTGCTGGTGGTGATCTTTCTGGTCTGCAGGAGAAGACAGCAAGCAGAGCAGCCAACCCTGGTCCACAGCAAATGTAATCACCAGGACACACAGTTTCCCAATTATGAATACACACTTTCTCCAAAGATCATTCATAACTCACACATTGCTCCAATACTTCTGTTTCAGTGGCTGTCAGAGTTGGAAAGTATAGCAACGGTGATGCAGATAATGTGAATATGGATCCGGTGAAAACCAAGAAGAATCTCAAAGAGGAAACAGAATCAGTGGATGAGGACAATATTTATGAGGAACCAGGCAAATTTGATGATGACGATTATGAAGAATTAGGCCTAAATTCACGTTTTAGAAAGGACAAGGAGGTCTGTTTCAGTGTAGAAGAAACCAGTGAAGAGGAAGATAACTATGTGAATGTAGAACCACTTACTGAACCAACTGTTGTTATTCATGGAAACCGTGAGCATGTTTATCAGAACTTTTGAGATGTCCTCTTGTTAGCAGTGACTCTGTGGGTCAGTGGTAGAGTTGGTCATCCCTCAACCAGGAGGTTTGGCTTTGTGTGTGCGCGTGTGTGTGACTTTTCCCTCCTGAGCCCAGTCGCATCCAATCATCTGACCAAACTTTTACGATTTGGCACCGGAAGGCATCAGATATTTTAAAGGCATATTTAAAGATAGATGCTTTGTTTCTTTTAATCAACTATCTGAGAAATGCAAACATATTTCTTCTGATATTGCAGGCCCGACAATATATTCGTTCAAACCTACCTTGTTTCCCTTCAGAACCTGACACCAACCCTGTTGATGCTTTTCTTTCTTTCCTTTAACCCACTGTCTAGAGGTGCACTGTTTAAATTGTATAGTAACATCTCGATGTTGACTTGTTCACCTCTGGACAAGATTAGGGCAGAATGGGAACGAGACTTAGGACATATATCTGATGATCAGTGGGACTCTCCTCTTCTATCAACACAAAAGTCTTCAATCTGCGCATGGCATTGCCTTCGGCAATTCAGGGTGGTCCATAGGGCCCACATCCAGCCATCCAGATATACCTAATAATTCACTTTTTTTAGTCTACATCTGTAAATTTTGTAATTACTGTACATAGCACAGACTCTTGCACTTTCTGCTTATTTGCACTTCTGGTGAGATGCCAAACCTCATTTCGTTACTCTATACTTGTATATGTGTAATGACAATAAAGTTGAATCTCATCTCTCATCTCATGTCTAAGGTCAAAATTAGCTCGCATCTACCCTGGTATAACTCCCGCTTGCGATAAATGCAAAAAACGGTGATGCTACTCTGATCCACATGTACTGGCTTTGTCGTCGCCTATCAAAATTCTGGACAGATGTCTTCCATACTCTATCTAAAATATTATATAAAACTATAGACCCAGGGAAGAAACTGTTCTTATGTCTGGTTGTTTTGGCGTACAGTCATATGTAACGCCTGCCAGAGGGGAGGAGTTTGAAAAGTTTGTGTCCAGGGTGTGAGGAGTCTGCAGTGATGCAATCTGCCCGTTTCCTGACCCTGGACTGGTATAAGCCCTGGATGGGGGGGCAAGTCGACACCAATGATTTTTTCTGCAGTCCTTATAGTCCGTTGCAGTCTGTGTCTGTCCAGTTTGGTTGCAGATCCTGATGATAGCAGTCTAAAGCATGATCAGCAGCTCCTGGGGCAGGTTGAACAGGGCAACAGGCCTGTAGTCATTTAGTGCTTGTTTGGCATTGCTGGTGTAGATGACCAACACCTGACATCAGCGGAGCACCGGGTTGCCTTTGCTCTGCTGATGGCTAGACGTGCAATCTTGCTAAAGTGGAAAGAGGCTGCCTCGTCCCTGCTTGGCCATTGGCTTCGGGATGTAACATCCTGTCTCCAACTGGAGATGCTACGTTTTTCTGTCAGTGGCTCTTAGAAAACAAACTTTAAAACCTAGGAACTCTTCTTAACGTACTTCCATAACAACAAAACCTTGTCAGCTTGAATAGTAATTTAATTTAGCCCTTGACACAAGCCTATGCAAATCTTGCCACTCTGTTGTTTCACTTTGTAAAGTAAAAAAATTATATATACATGATATTCTTTCCATTCAAAATACTGTTATTGAGTTTTACAAACCATAAAAAAAAAAAAACGAGAAAGAAGGGTTGGGCAGGCACAATATACATTACCACATAGAATACAGTAAGGTACAGAGCAATACAAATAAACAGACTCCTGTGGCAGTAACAGCAATAACTGATGTATTACAACAACCCTTCCCCCGCCATCACCCACCCCCCACCCATCATCCCACAGATGTTTCCTGGATAATAACTAAGGCACAAAGAGTATAGGATTTAAATTGCAGCTAACTTGAAGGACTCAAGGAGAAGTTTTGTGTCTAAAGTCACAATGTAAACTTTTAACAAAAGGAAATGTGCACCAGCCTGTTGCATCACAGCCCAAATAGTTGATTGTAACATAAATCCCGCCTCTGACAAGGCAAATAGCAAATCAGAATCTAGTATTTTTTGTAGCTTGGCACCTGTGGTGGCCAATCAGATTTCAAAGAGGGCTCTGGCCAACGATTTAGTCATGACCCTCTTATGTCGCCCCGCAGTCTCAGAAGCACTTTCTTATTTGTGGAATCCCTTAAGTGAGGTTTCTGTTGTGACGTGACTCAATGGTACTTAGGATGGATTCATTGATGCCAAATACTGTTCTCATTTGTTTTGTCACTCTGCCACTGTACAAGCCCCCGGAGGGTTTTTCCGGCAATTCTCCCTCACATTCTTATTTTTACTTAGTCCTGTTATTCATGTGTGAATAAAATAATAATGAAAACATCCTTTGGCTACTCGATCACATTTCTCCACCCAGACTTGTTTTTTTTTTTTTTTTTTTCAAGGATTCAAATCAGTTCAAAGTCGAACAAGCCTGCCTCCCCCTTCCTCATTCGAGGATAAAGAAGATTCAAGAAAATAAGTAAAATGAATCTCTTAGTATCTAATTGTCACCACCAAGAGGTATAAATAAGATCAGCCATATATGGATATTCAGGAACAACAGTCCTGCTGAGAACACCGATGCATGCAGGCATCGTGCTTGCCCTTAAATCAGCCAATTCCTCGAGGATGAAGCGCGGTGCAGCAGAGTGAAGTGAATGGCACACTTAACCTGAGGGATTGTGTTTGTTATAGACGCAGCAGGCCGATGAACTATAGATCTGCCGTGAGTAAAGGGAGCTGTGTATGTATCTGTGTGTGTGGTGACACTGAGGAGGCCTGACAGACTTGTTCTCTGTCAGCAGATGGAGGCATGCATAATTCAATCTTGAGGCAGTTTCATGCTGTTTCTCTTCCTGTCTCATCACTGTTCCCAAAGACAGACAAAGCAGGATTAGGATATACAGGAGAAGCAGGGGATACAGTTGTCTTCCCTTATTTGCTCAGCAGTGGTTTGCCCCCTCCCTTGTACATGAGCTAGTTACAGTGTGTTCACAGATGTTACTGTTGATTTTTTTAGTTGTTTTTATTATTATTATTATTATTATTATAATTAATAATAATATGTGAGTGCTGTAAACTTGTAAATACACTAAAGTTGGACACACACTCGCATTAGATTTCTGAGGCCTTCACCGTGACATGTGTTTAAAAGGAATGGTCCAAAGACTTGTACGTGTAGCTTTAGCAAATACCAACACTGACCTGCAAAAGGTAAACCATATATGCCTTGATTGAAGGTTAGAGGTTTTATGGGATAAGACACTTTGACCAGCAATGTCCACTTTGCTCAAGCCGAGGATTGTAGCTTCTTTCTCTCCCTAATGTCTTGTCATCATATCAACCTCACTGTATGAATCGCATATCGTGCCCGAAAGGCGCGAGAAAATCAAGGTCCTCCATATTCGCTATTATTGTTTACAGCTCATCATTGAAGGGAAGTCTGGAAGGTGGAAGCGCCACTGCCAAAAAATGTCGGTCAATTTGCAGCATTTCGGGGCAGCGGTCTGCAGGGATTTCAATCTTAACTCCCTCACCTCTTCAGGCCCAACCTTTGCTTTCTGTTTTGGTTTTACTTGTGCACCGTCGCATGAGGTTCTTTGAACAAGCACTTGAATACTCGTAGTTTTTATTTCACCCCCAAAAAGAAAACATCGGACACTAACCTGGTCTAACCTGACTAAGATGGCCTTATTTGTTTACTGTGGCAGGCTGCTCATCAGCAGTGCTTTTCTGTACAGCAGTCCTCAAATCTCAGTTCGGAATGAAATGACAATTGATGGTAATGTTACAGAAGCTAATTAGTTTAGCCTAAACTGTATAAATATAAAGAAAACATCAACACAGAGCTCCGTAGTATGAACGACATGGTCCAAACTTTATTACTCTATTCAGTCTCCGTCATCAACTCGTCACCGGTACAAAAGCACAGCACTTCTGTTATTACCCTTCAAAATATAAAATCCCCCAGATAAATATATTGACCATATTAAGAGGCCTGGAGGCTAATTGACTGCTGGTTATTATTTAAGGATTTAGGCTACGTATGGCACATACGCAGTGAAGTGCTGATTTTGAATTTTAGGTTAAATGATGATCTTACCTGGTGACACATTAAAGTGTTTTGGTAACACTTCGAATGACATAGTATATAATATATTAACCATGAACTAGTTTTCCATTAGCATGCTAATTAGTAGCATAATGGCTGCGTATCAGTCATTATTTAGTATGGCCTGTAATAAGTAATATCAAAAGCATATTGAGATCATAATTCATGTTCAACAACTCCCTCACTTACTATCAATAAGCAGTAATTAGGAGGGAATTGAGGGCAAACTTAGATTATAGTCATATAGAGGAAGGTACTAATAAGTGCTTAATAATTACTTATAAGCCGCCAGTATGCTACTAGTTAGCATGGTGCTAATGGTGAATATTGTGACCTTAATTTTAAAGTGTTACCAGAGTTTTAATAAAGCATTTCACTTCTGGCTATTTGGAGGTTTCATTCTCAATCAAAAAGAAAGGCATGTAACACCAAGACTGACAATAGTGAGCTTGATATGAGAGCTGATATGTTCTGTTTTTAGCCAGTTGTTTCAGCCCTTTGCTGCATATTTTGCTTCTGATTGTTTTCTCCTCCAGTGGGCGTCATTTCCAGAGAGGCAGAGTTAAAAGGAAAAACTTTGTCTTTTAAGACAACCAATCGAAAGGCAATTTTCACAAACTCCAGATCTGTTGTTTCCCTCCAGGGCTTCCCGGAAAACAATACATTTAGAAAGAGCAAATATTTGTGTAGAGTACATCATTTATTTTGCATCATGGTGAATTTGCATTTGAACAGTTGTTTCCCCAAGAACCTTGGAGCTCCTTGGACGTCCTGTGCTGTGTTGATCCGTGGACATATCTGAAGCATCTGTCATGATAAATGTCCGTCTGTTGCTGTCTGTGACGCCACTCCCCACCGCTGCTCCTCGCTGCTCATGCACTTTATGGTTGGCATATGCTGCCATGATTCTCCTCACTCCTCTCCTTGCGAGGTGAAACAGTTATACAGTTCGGATGAGTTATGCACCAGCTTCCCGTTTAGAATTGCTTCATTGTGATTTCAATGTCAAATATCACATCTTTGTTTGCCTTTTCAAACTGACTGTCCTTTATCTGTGTTGGTGTTCTTTTCAAGGTAAAGTTGTTTCTGCACAAGGAAAAGGAAGGGTGACTGCTGCACAAATGCACAGCCATATAGCAGTCTGTATCATCCAAACACACATTGAAATAAGCTTCTACACATTCTTTCTCCGCACAAACACATAATGGTCCAAGTCTTTCGCCATTAGAGGTCAATAGCAGTCATATAGATTATATTTGTTCAGGGGAAAGTGGTTCCAAAACTGTTCTCCTTACCCCCCTTGGATTATTAACAAGGAGCGAGTCACAAACAGTCTTTGCGGAAGAAGGTGTTGCATTTTTTTTAAACTGTAAGTGATAAAAATAAATATTACTTTTACAATTCACAATAAATACAAACCTATACAAGCCACCCCTCAAAACCTACCATTAGTCATCCCCACATACACCAGTGGTTGCCAAACTTTTTCTGTCATAGATGAAAATACTTTTAAGCTCTTTAAGATAAACACAAAACACACTGTCAGTCATGCTCTCTGCTAACAAATTCACAATTTTGAGAATTTTTCCCCCAAAAAAAGCTGCAAAAAGTACAGACTGGTAGTCCGCTGTGACAATAAAGTGGAAAAAACAAACAATTCACTTTAAAAAAAGCAGATATAAGTGATACCGTGACATGAAACTTCCACATTTGTGAGGCCTGATGGTGTCCTTTTCATCAGTATGTTTAACAGGAAGTCCTCTTACAAAATTGTCCTTGCTTCATTTGCAGTGAAAAACAGTGTGCATTGCTTTTGTAAAGCCATCCTAGACCCTTATAACTCCAGGCCCTCACTGAGGGCACCGGACCGTTCTTTGGGAATCACTGACATACAGATTCAGCCTTGATTATAAACATCAAGAAATCTCCTTCTTAAGCATTGGACGCATATTAAAATCACATTCATTATGAAAAGAAGTACATCCAAAACATACATCCATTTTTGCCCTGTTTTCTCAGGTACACTTCAAAACTTCCTTACTGCTAACAGGACAACTACTTGGATCAGTCATCAGTCCATTCTTGGATTAGAGCATCACCTCAACCTATAATAGGGCTTTCACACTTGCAGAAAACTCCTGAGATTTTCAGGAGGAGCAGTATGTGTGAACGCAAACAGCCGAAGTTTCCACTCTGACTTGACCCCAAGTTTCTCCTTCCTATTTTCCTCATTTTTTTTGGATTTTTAGGTATGGTACAATCACTTCTATCTGAACAGTTCGTTGGCAACATCTGTTGTTTTACCATTAACCTGGCAAACCAAGTGGCATCCAAAATGGCTGTTTGGGGGTGCCTACCGTCACCTTCTCTGTTCTGAATAAAATCTAACCAGTCCTCACCTGAATCGAAGTTTAAAAGGAGGACATACTGGCTGCTGCATTGTTGACAGAGAGGCCAGCACTTCAACATAGCATGTTTCCTTAATGTCTGGTAATATAGTAAGGTAACTTTATCATTTAATTCAGTAGAAAACTTATATATTAGACCTTTAATCTGAGAGCAACTTTAGAACAACAGAGTTGTCATTATGTTTTTATTTTCTGTTCTCTGTGAGCACCTTTAAAATGTGTGGAAACAATATTATGGTGCAGCTTTTTTCACACAGTGACAGCATGAAGATTTAATTCATCAGGAGAATCCTCAATCTGATACGTATCACACGTGCTGCTGTCATTAACAGCTCCATTACTACATATATCAGTCTCAGTGTGGACAGGACAGCTGGCCTGGGTCCCTGCAGTTTTTCTTGCCATATGCACCATACTGATCAGACAGCCGGATGGTGTGTGAAGGTCAGTCTGGTGTCAGGAAGGCAGATGTCTCTCTGGACAAGATGCCTCTGAGAGATCCAAGTGTGTGGAGCAGTCAGAGCAGAGTAGCGATCACCTGTGCAGCACAGAGATGAATCAGGATGTCAGAGTTAAAACAGATGGAGAAAACAGAAGGTGTCTGCTTAAAACTTTTGAAAAATAAAAACGCCACGTGTTTAAGGAAATGCATTTAAGGGTGACTTATGTCATTGAAAAAATTAAAGCTTTTCTTTTACCCTATTTTATTTGTATCAACAATCTTTAAAATCAGTAAAGACCAAAGAAGAAATTCTGATTTGCTTTGACTATCAATGAAGTGACTATATTTTATACTTTATTACTTTTTCTAATCATCTAGAAAATAGTTTCACAATATAAATATTTTTTATTTAAAAAAAATATATTTAACAAGGAAAACCTAATTGAGACTAAGAATCTCTACATCTGGATATACAGTGTCCAAATATTTAAGACATTGTAAGACGCATACATGTATAAAACATCACTGAAATTGATCAGGGGAACGAAAATAGCAGCAGCAAGTGGGAAAAAATCCAGTCGCAACTTTAGCTTCTTTACAAATTGCTGAATATATAGCTTGAAAGACATCATTCGAGTGTGAAAACATTATGAGTTTAGTTTTATCAGGATTCAAAATTAATTTTACCTCCTGAAATCGCATGTACAGAATCAAAGGCCTCTGGTAAGTGACAGAGAGCCTGATCCTGTGTAAGAGTGGAGAAATAAATAACTGTATCATCTGCATATGAACAAACATTTACAATTAATGTAAAGTGTCAGTTGCCCCAAGACTGAACCTTGTGGCACACAATTTTTTTTACTTCAAGATATCTTGATGAATAATTGATCAAATTATTGTTGTAATTATGGAGACAATAGTTGTGCAACTACTGCTTAAAAATTATACATGGGGTGTTGATGTTTGTTTATAGTATAGTTAGGCAGCTTAGCGAAATTATGCCGGGCACTTAAGGGGTTAAATTAATGCATGTGTTGCCTAGGAACCATGTTGAAAAATTATGCAATACATTTCCATAATTAAAATAATTATTTGATCTTCGCACAAATAATCATCTAGTGATATTTTCAATAGCTTTAATGAATTCATTGACCCAGAAAATGTCTATATTGACACCAAGATTGACCTTCTAAGTGGCTTGGAAGTCATATTGGCACTTACAGATTTTACATGGCTGCCATCTTGGAACCGCCATCTTTATGAAGTGGCTCCAACCAAAAATGTAAAGCTATGGTGATAGAGACTATGTGTAAAGAATTTAGTGCTTTTGTCCGACGTGTCCCCATTCTTTCCAAATCTGGTCCTAAGCCACCTGACTTGTATAGAGTTTATGCATCTAATAATGGTAATGTTATAATTGAAAAAAACGCTGCTGGTGTAGTGCGATCATGCAAGATTCCCATTCCCATTCTTACAACCCGGGTACGATTCCTGGGCGGTGCACGTCTAAGGGCGGCAGTTGCTTAATCTGTATAGGGGCTTGGGTTGGGAACTGGAGGGTCCCCACTATGACACATCTCCACTAATGCATGTCCAATGCTCCTGTTTGTGCATGTGTGTATTTCGGGCCAATTTGTGTGAGAAGGATGTCTCTCAATAACTAATGGTAAATCAGAATTTCCCCTCACAGATCACTAAAGTATGCAAAATAAATTAAATCAAAATAAATATAAATATTCAAATATGCATTTGTAAAATGATCCTCTAGCATTACAGTTATATAAAACACAAGATGACTTATTTGGAGGTTGTCATGACAACATTTCCTACACCATTAAAATAATGTCATCATATAAAGAATTTTAAGAATGAAATTGATCCATTTTTATTTCCCCATATCTTAAATAATTTATTTAAATAATGTTCTCCTCTGTTCTCCCTGTTAATAAAGATGTAAAGGATGTGTATACTGACTATATATACACACATAAATATATAAACCGAATCATACTTACATACATGTTATTATTTCTACAATAGATCATCAAAGCAGGGGCTCAGAATGAAGTTAATTCAGACCTCTTATTTATTTTCACTTGGCCTTCACAGCCACAGCTCAGTACTGTATGTTATTTATAGAACAAAATCCCATCCTGTCAATCCCCCCCTTAAACTACAAATCCCAGAGATCATTGCTTCTTCTAATCTGGTCATATGACCCGGCAGTAGAGCAGGTGGTACTTGGTCATATGATATTGTGAACCGAGGCTGAGGAGCAGCAACATCTGAGCTAAATCACAGCCCACATCTCTCCCTACGCTGAAAGGTAAAGCTGGAGGAATCCCTCCTTTTCACACTGCGTCTTTGAGCCTTTAGTGACGGATGCTGCAGCCTTACACACAGGAGGAGGAGGAGGGGGAGGAGGAGAGGGGAGGAGAGGCAGGCAGAGATGAGGGGGATGGTAGGCCATCAGGGATGCCTCTCCGTTGCTTTCTGTAGAAAACAAGGAAGCACAGATGTTTGTGTTGTGTGAATGCATGTGCTGTAAACATGTTGGGCCTGAGGTTGTGTGTGAGGGGTGTGTGTTTGTGTAGGTTCCATAATGTCCCATACATGCAGAAATCACGTGGAGAAGAGATGGACTGTTGAGAGCTTTCTGTTGTTTTTCGGGCAGGAGGTCACACATGGATGGATGATTTTCTAGTTTCTGTTTCCCCCCATCAATGCAAACATGTCAGTGAGGTGAGGTCAGAGAGCTCTGTATGTGATTGTTACAAGGAAAACAAAAACAACAAAGTGCATTGAACTTTCCACAGCATGCTGACATTTTGGAATCTTTGTAAAAGACCAATATCCTCTCAGTCATTGTGTTAGCCTTTATCATATTATTAATCTAGTTCCCTTCTAGTAGTGCCAGTAAGGAATCACTTTTTTCAGTTTATAGCTTCAAAACAAATCAGAAAATGTTTGTTGACACTATTTTGTAAGATTTAACAAAATTGTCACATCGTGTTCCTTAAATATATAAATTAAATAATGTGGAGCAAAGAAGGGAAGGACCCAAACAGGAAATCATAAGAACTTGTTTGATTCATGTCCTTTGAGAGTAAACATGTTCTGTATCAAATCTGAAAAGCTAGCTAGGTTAGCATTACTTTGTCAAAAAGTGAGGCTATTACGAAGGGTAACGCCCTGTTTTAGATTTTTTTGTATCTAAGTGTTAACGAGTTGAAACAGCGAACCTTTTATTTTAGTTTTCGTATCTTTTTGATATGAGAGCAGACCACTGAGTCGTCTTCCTGCAGCTCCCTCCATCCCCTTTTTCTAGCCCACCGCAGTTTCAGCAGATGTCTATTCATCATGAGTCTGGTCCTACTCGAGGTTTCTGCCTCTTGAAAGGATGTTTTATATTGTCACTGTTCTTTGCGAAATGTTGCTTAGTGCTTTGCTCATGATGTATTAATGTTGGGTCTTTGTAAAATAGCAATGAGTAATGTCTCTTAGGGCGCTCTCACATAGGCCCAGTATCCCTGTAACCGTGCTGAAGCACGATTGTCCCCCCTCCCCATTCCCAGCTGGCGTGCACTCACACTGTTCCAGAACTAACCGGGTCTGAGCACGGTTACCTCTTGTAGCCTACATAACGTTGCATCCCCCTGCGTATAAAAGCTGTTTAAGTGAGAGAAAAGAAGAATACTCACTGCTTATTTGAATGTCATGTAGGTGTTTTTAGATCACGGTCATTCAATGTAAATTTACATGTGAAGCTACGAGCTAACTAAAGAGCGCTACCATTAGCATGCTAACACAACAAATGCAGCTCGAGTAAAGGACAATTTTGTCCGCTGCTTTGCGCTTAATGCTTAATTATGGTGCGTTCCAATTTGATAACACCTTTGTGCAAATGCGAGGGGAGAGGGGTTGGAGGTGAGTCGCTGTAGGAGAGAGGAGGATTCAGTGTGGCGGAGGTGTCGCCAAGCAGCAGTTTGTTTTGGTTTCATGCTGGTGCTCAAGGGCGACATCTACTGGATCAAAGAGCACATTCTTCCTTTAAGTGGCTTGAGCTTACATTTGTTAAGAACTGGTGCTATACAAAGAAATATTGATTAAGCTGGTTGGGTTGATGCTGGAAATGCTGAAGATTTTGTGAAGGTTAGTCCGAACTTCAATCATTCAGCACTCTTAGTTAGATCATGTCTAAAAAAACATGCTGTGTCTTTAGAAAAAAAAAAACAGAAGTTTCCCCCTGTTCACAGTTATCTTCACAGTTTGCCACCAGGCATGACTGTTGTTGTAAGTGCAATGTAACTGTTATTTTTTCTAAACCCACAGACATTCAGTTCATCTTTAAGTGTTTCAGCTTTCCTTATGTTTTGATAAAAGTCAGGCTTAAAGAAGAAGCTAGTTTTATTTCTTACTGGGATTATGATGCTCAGACTGATACCCTTCATCAGTGCTTTTTGTATATGTGATTGTAAGAAACTGTGGCTGTTGTTAGCCTGTATGTAGCTTTATAAAATAGCTGAAGCAGGGTCAGATGGTTGGACATATGAGATCTCAGAGTCTGGTCTGTGTTGTCAAGGTGAGGTAAGGGTCATAGTTCTGCATACATTTTAAAATTTGAACAGATGCAGAGAGGCTGATTTCAGAATTACTACATTTCCCTGCAGATGAACTTGCATTAACAATGAATGGATGTTCAGTCAGCTGACCCCTGTGATAACTGAAACTACAGCCCAGTGTTACAGTTCATGTTTGTCTGAGAGTCATGGTACCATTTGGTACCCTTATTTCCCCTGGACCTGAAGTGGGAACATCTGAAGTTGGAAAATGGAAACAATGCACAATTGCAAAAAAAACAAAACTGCAGATCCTTGAGGTTCCTCTTAAGCTTTGCTCACACTGTAAGGGTTTGAAAGTCCTTCCCAATTTTGATTTCGGATAGCATCACACACGAGGAGAATCCTAACAGACATCCTACTCCATAATCTCAAACACGCTCACAGTACAAGATATGAAAATCTGTGCAGGTAGACCTCTGCTGCTGGTCGCCATTACTACCCTTATTACAGTCCTCAGTCTCTCTCTGTGATTGTAGTCACACGAGTTCCTCCAGACCCTTTCAGGACGTAATCGTCAAGATTCTAAATGTCAAACACGTTTGAAATAAATCGGGGCGTCAACGACGATCGCCGAGGGGATCGGGGATGTTAAGATTGGATCTTTTTTTAAGATAATCTGGACAGATAATCGGTTCCGAGCAGCCATGAGTCGGGCCCGATTATCCTGCAGTCTGAGCCAGGCTTTAGGCTGGTCCCAAAAGCGAAACCAAAAAAAACTCTAATTAGGCCCAATGTTATTATGTACACTTTTTATTTTTATTTTTATTTTTTGGGGGCCTTTTGCCTTCATAAAATAGATCAGCTGAAGAGAGACTAGAAAACGCTGGGAGGAGATAGTTGGGGATGACACGCAGCAAAAGGCCGGGTGGGACGACTATTGCCTCTGTACATGAGGTACGCTACATACCTAACTATAGGCTGTCTGGCGCCAAGCTATGCCCACTTTGAAACCAGAAATAAAAAGTTTAAAAGCCTGGTACAAAAAGCTTTTGAGCTTTTTTTTCCATTTATGACAACTGTAACCATGGTTACGTTTTTACAACACACCGGTTTACATTATATGAAGCACTCAGTCATTGATCGATGTAAGGAAAAAATGTGTCATGAAATCAACTGGACATGGCAAAGGAAACAAGGACTACATGAAGAAGAACAGAGGGAATGAAATAGATTGTTTCTCCTTGATGTATACAGGATGCCACGTATAGTGCGTAGGTGCACAGTTATGTATTCCAAATGACACTATCCCATAAAATGTTCCAGCTACCTTTTATGTAACTTACACGACTTAGAACAGAGTGGAGAGGGTTTATTAATATAATCTGAACTCCCTCCATATTTTTCTGGTACATCTGAAATGAGTTCTTCCTCTGTGGTGTGTTAGTCGGAGTGTATGTAACAGGATGTTGAGTGGTGGGTGTTCTCTGCATGACTCATTGCTCATCTAGCCGATCTGGACAACAGATTGTTCTATCTAACCACTCGCGCTATTCTTTCTTCTCCCCTATTTTTTTTTGCTTTTTTTTTTTTTGTTCTAGTCACTATTGATTATCTGCTGTTTGTTCTGAATATTAAGTGATGATTCAGTTCATCACAAAATGGGTTGGTGTGTTTTCTTACTTTGAAAATGGTGGTTATCACAATGTAGGCCTGAAGTGGGGTCTCCCACTTTGTTGTTTCAATCGACTTTCTTGTTGTCAGTCATCTTGAAGGACAGGGTTGTAAACACTCCATCACGATCGGTCATTACTTGTTTTTTTATTTAACAGACATAAACAGAGAGCTAGAGGACCGTTTTCAGAAATGATGGACGATGGTTCCTACAGCATCATGTTTTGAAGCGAGAGACCAAGCTGCTGTATCAGAGGGGGGGGTCTGACAATGAAAAGGATGAAATGTTGTATCTTCTGAATGATTGTGCTTTTAGTTGGGGTGTCAACTTTAATGTCTTAAACATTACCACATGCATTTAATCTCCTTAAGGCGTAACTTTTTTTAACGGGCGTGAACTGTGGCAACTGTCAATCACAGCAGCGCATACACCAAGAAGGTCAAACAAACTTTTTATTTTGGCCAAATGGGTCAAGATTCAGAAACTACATTAGACGTTTCTCGCACCAAATGCTTTCAGAATGAGATTTCAGTGCACTGTTTATCTATAAAAAGGTATTTTTATATTAAGACAAAGCCGCATTGTTGTTTCCTGTTTGAATGCTGGGGAAAATAGCGTTTCCTGTCAATCACGGGAGAATCCAGAATGACAAATCAAACGGCGGAATCGCGCAGCTCGCATTGCATTCACTTTAATATTCAATTTCAGTTGAAGTTCAACTTTTGTCCCACCCCTTTCTTGCATCTCCTATCTGTGCCTGCATCCCATAATCCTTTGCCCTACTCGCCTGCTGGGTCCAATACAAAGTGAATGAGCCGCGATGATAGTCGATTATACTGGGGCCGGGCCATCAGACTTAGTATGAAATGATAGTCTGCACTGTTGGTGGGTCAGAATGCTGTCATTATTAATTCATTTGGACTGATTTGTTACAGTATACAGTCAATAAGCATATTTATTTGATTGTATTGAACTAGTCATTGTGAAACTTTTGTTGAAGTCTGAAGAAACTGACTTTGGTTGTCTGGGCCTGCCAATAAAAATCAAATTCCTTGGCCAGTTACTTTTGTTGTTGGGACTCGGTGAAGTGGG